AAGCTCAGAAGCCTCTGCATATTCAACTAGAGTCTAGTGTGTTTTTTTTTTTTTTAACAGAATGTTAGAAGAGTTCCATCTTCATTTCTGAGATAGGTGTGAAACTTACCGTCATTACTATAATGCCATCAAATTACATTCACTCAGTGCTGATAAGCAAGTCCTTGTTTTTGTCTGTATTCTGTGCCTTTGTTGTCAGACTTGGAAAAAGCCTCCACACTCCCTCAAAGACCAAAGGCCTAGGCTGAGGAGTTTAAGACTGATCCTACTGACAACAGGGAGCCTAGGAGGAGTGTCTCAAGACCTCGTCCCACATCCTATTAACTATGTGACTTTCCACTGCTATTCTTCCGTGACTGCTCTTCTGAATATGGTACGACCTCCCAGTGTCAACACCACATCTCTATCATAATTCTATAGGTTTAGTATTCGATGTCAGTGGTCCTTAAATATAAAAACTAGTATTTTTGCCAATACTATAGCTGCCTTACAACCTAGATAGCCTCAATTATGACTTTTAAAAGGCCAACTTTGTAACTCCTGGCAAAATCAAAGAGAATTGTAAAGTAAGATTCCTGGGGCACCTGGGTGGCTCAGTCATTAAGCGTCTACTTTCAGCTCAGATCATGGTCCCAGGGTCCTGGGATTGAGCCCCGCATCGAGCTCCCTGCTCAGCTGGAAGCCTGCTTCTCCCTCTCCCACTCCCCCTGCTTGTGTTCCCTCTCTCGATATCTCTCTCTGTCAAATAAATAAATAAAATATTAAAAAAAAAATAAAGCAAGATTCCTCAATTTTTTTTGTTTTACAAATATTTTAAGTTGTGCACTTAACTTTGTAAGTCATACTGCTTAAAAATGATTCACAAAACTAGTATACATTTAACTTTGTTATCTTGCTGAATATCTGAAAAATGGAAAACAATTTTCCTGCTAAATATATGAAATTAAGAATAAAAACTCCAATGACTTAGGTAGATTATTTCCAGAAAAAAAATCAAAATGATTAGTTGAATGAGAAGCACCTGGGTGGCTCAGTAGGTTGTGTCTGCCTTCAGCTTGGGTCATGATCTCATGGGTCCTGGGATGGAGCCCAGCCAGTCAGTGGGTCATCGGGCTCCCTCCTCAGCGAGGTGTCTGCTCTTCCCTCTCCCTTTGCTCTCCCCCCCGCAGCCCCATTCAGGCCTCTCTCGCATGTGCACACTCTCTCTTGCATGTGCACGCTCTCTCTCTCAAATAAATAAATGGAATCTTTTAAAAAAAATGATTAGTTGAATCAAAGAGGCTTACTAAGAAGTTAGGCTGTTCCTTTAATAGAGAAAAAATAAGATGATTATAGGCAAACTCCCATATAAGCCAGTTTCTCTTTGTGTAATAATTACAGATGTGATCCATAATCTCAGTCATTTTAAAATATCCCAACCAACAGGGATGAATCCATGCAAACATCTTGCCGATGCCATAGCAATACAGCTGGCGTACACTCACTGGTAGTCAGAACCACTAAAGTGGAAGGCTATGGCATAATGACTTCATGGAAGGAATCTTGGACCAAAGAGGGTCATAAAGTCACAGTTTCTAATTTCATTTTGAACTCTCACTACTGATTGATCTTGGGCTATTCACTTAGGTTTTCTGAGCTGATTTCTCTAACTATAAGCTGTCTGATCTGATTATTTCCAAAAACAAGAATCAAATTATATAATGGACACAAAAATAGTTGAAAAACTGAACAGTGTGCTGCAAAAATCTAAAAGTAAGGAGAACCAACATCAAGGGATTAGGCTGCTATGAAAACATCTAGACCAAAATCACAATTTCCTTGGTAATCTGTACAAAACCAGGAGAGTCCCTGTCACGTGGTTATCAGGACTAGGCCTATTATACTGGGCTTGTTCTGAACATAGCAAATGGGAGGGAGAACTAGACAGTGGCAGCCTGAGTTGGTGAGGAAGACCATAGAAGACTTGTTCTTGAAAGCTTATTGCCTTGGAATAAAGTTCAAATTCCTTATATGCTCAAAGTCCAGCATATAAGACCCCAACACGTGGCCCCAGCCACATATACAGCCCCGCATCTCTCTACTCACAGCAATACACTCCAGATTGAGTGACTCTAGACACTGTGTTACCTCCCAACCACGGTCCTCTGGCTGGGGTGGCCTCTTTCCAGTTCCCCAATTACCCTGCCCCACCTTACACCACTGTCCACCAGTCATATTTCTTTTGGTCTTTCAGTCCTTGATTAAAGTACACAGACTTCTAAATAGATTTCTCTGCTCACCATAGTTCTAAGTAACAAGTCCATCCTCTTTCCTCCTGCTATCATCTTTATTTCCATAATAGGGCTTTTGAAAGTTCAGACTTTGCTTTGCTAACTAGACTATAAGCTTCTTGAAAGACAGGGGCCATTTCCAATCCTCAAAATACCATCCATAACAAGTATAATTCCTTCTATATAACATGTGCTTCATAAATGTGAAGTGAATATAAACAAGGTGATCTGAATACACTGTACTAGAAGACACTGAGCAGTACTCTAAGACCCAGTTAATTCTAAAGCAACCTCAAAATTTCCTCCTAGTGTAAAATCTAAATAAACAGAAATCTTAATTCAGGACAGAAAGAGAAAAACTGTGTTTCTCATAACCAATCATGCTATCAACAGAAACCTAAACAAACTTTAGGACAATGTGATATCCTTCCCCAAATCCTGGGGCGGGGTGGGGCCTGGTGGTGATGGTGGCGATTTCCTAATGGCTCCTGTCCTTCCCCCACTCCACTGTACGCATCTAACTTTAGAGATACCAAAACTATTTGTAGTTCTCCAACAGACCATGTTCTCCCTTATGTATTGTTCCCAGGGGCTGTCTATCATTCTGTCTTATGGAGTATCCTCCCAAAAAATGCTTTTCATCCTCAAGTCTTAGTTCAAGAGTGAATTTTCCTCTTAAACCTTCCCTGATTTCTTCAGGCTGACTTAGGAACATCTTTCCAGAAACACTCACTTCCAATCCCACCCCAAGAAACCACATCTCCATCTTATCCATGATTGCATTCCAAAAATGATTTCTTTAAATGCCTGGCCCAGATACAAACTATCTGGAAGATAAGACTGGTTCTCTCTGTTTCTGCATATCCAGCCTGTAGGCAACTCCACAGATACTGTGTGAATGGATCAAAGATGAGTAAAGACACCGCCCAATACACCAACATCATTTATCAGCAAATAGCTAACCTCCCAGTATTGGGTTCAGAACCTTGTGCTCCGACAAACTCAGAGTGCATTCCCAGAAATTTTCAGTGCACCTGAGTATTACTCTCACAGAAACAATACCATCCATGAATACAGTTCCGGGCTGATCCATCAAGCCCTATTTTATCTGAAGGATCTAAAATAGTTAAAACTGCTAGCAATTTTAGGAGTCTCAGAGCTAGAAAACATAGTATTAGTAAAAGTTCCTTGCCTGTTTTGTAGCCCTTCGTGGGCTAGACTAAAATCTTAGATCTCCCTTTTAGTGTAAATACCCTTGGAAAAAGATATTCTAAGTTCCAAATCACTGTGGACTTCTAGAACACATTTTAAGTTAGAGACTTCCTCTAAACAGTGTTCTCTTTGTAGATTAGACATGGCATTTCTCCTGTGTCAGGGGTTTTCCTTCTCCTTCCTTTTTCCGTTTTTACCTCCTCCATCCTCCAGTTGCATGAGGAAAAAATCACCTTAATAGTAGCCCAAATAAAACATAATCTTCAGGAGGAAAAACTCACACACTATATTCACATATATGCTCCAACCTCAGCTGGGCTCTCAACACTGTAGAGCTCTCCCTGCATTCCCCCTATGCCCCCTAGTTCCCTGAGCACACAGGGATTGCCTGCCCCAAAGCTCTTCTGCTTTGTGCAAACCACCACCTCAAAGCCATATACTTTCACTTACAAATAACTCTCAGCCCTCCTTCATAGAGGAAATTAATGGCTACTGGACATGAGCTCCCTTCCTGCACATCCATCCTCTCTAACTCCAATTTTTAAATGAAGGACCTCACCATCTAGCAGACTCACAGACTGCTATCTCAAGCACTGAGAGACGCATCATCTCAAGTTCATCCTTATGCCTAGCTTATAAGGAAGATATCATCACACCTAGTTGACCAATGGATGAGCAAACTGAGGATCAAAGAATTCAAGGATGTGTCCACAGTCCGAGGACTACTAAATGACAAAACAGAGTCTGGTTCTCTTGATGCTGAGTTCACACTGCACTGCACCACATGTGTTTCTGAACAGCCACAACTTATTTTCTCAATTCTTCTCCACATTTCCCATGGTCTAGATGAACTAGGTAACTGAATCTACCTCAGCACAAACTTGCCTTTGCATCTTTAAAAAAACAAATGTAGGAGCACCTGAGTGGCTCAGTTGGCTGGGTGTCTGCCTTTGACTCAGGTGATGATCCCAGAGTCCTGGGATAGAGCCCCATGGAGGGCTCCCTGCTCAGCGGGGAGCCTGCTTCTCCCTCTCCCTCTGCTTGTGTGTGTGTATGTGTGCGTGTGCTCTCTCTCTTAAATAAAATCTCAAAAATAAAAAATTTAAAAAATTTAAAAAACAAATGTAATCTTTTTCTGATTATAAAATACATGTTCATTATAGAAAATTTTGGAAAACATAAAAGAGCAAGATGAAAAGTCTTCCATAATAAATAATAATGAACAATCTACAGAACTATACACAATATGGGTGAATCATACATGTTGAGTGTAAGAAATTAAGAAACAAGAGAGTACATGTTGTATGATTCCATTTATATTAAGGAACAAAAATGGTTAAAACTGTGTAATGTCACTGAAAATTAAGAGCACAGGGGACCTGTGGGAATGCTGATAATGTTCTATCTTTTAATCTGGGCACTTGTTGCATGGATATGTTTGGTGTGTGAAAATTCAATGAAGTGTACATTTAGGATATGTATGCATGTACACACACACACACACACACACACACACACAATACTTGAAGTCAGATGCAATGTTTATATTTTGGTGTGTTTTCTTCCTGGTGCTCTTCTTCCTCCTGGATGCCTGTTTTAAAAAAAGTTGTGTATGTTTATATTCTGATATTTCATCTAACAAAAAAGCATATGCATTTACCCAAATTACTATAAATTCTTCATAAATATTTTTAATGGCTAAATAACAGTCTAACTGGAACCTGTGCCATCACTTACTTAACCAGTACCTTGCAATCAACCATTTAGATGTTTCCAGTTATTATTATAAAATTGCCTTAGTGTGGCGCCTGGGTGACTCAGTTGGTTAAGCGTCCGACTCTTGGTTTCGGCTCAGGTCATGATCTCTGGGTCATGGAATCGAGCCCTGCGTGGTGTGGAGTCCGCTTGGGATTCTCTCTCTTGCTCTGACCCTCCCCACTCGCACCATCTCTCTTATCTCTCAAAATAAATAAAATCTTTTTTAAAAAATTGCATTAGTGAATACCATTACCCTTTAAGTCATTTAGCCACTCTCTCCTCATACTCTGCTTAATATATTTATAATATTATATATAACATACACTGCCATATGTACTTATGTATTTACTGCAACCTCAGTTCTCAATAATAAGCGTCCACAGACTACACCACCCCTCCACGTGTCCTCTACAAAACCTTACTCTTGAACACGGTAAGTACTCACTAGTTGTGAAGTGTTTTCAAAAGCCAAGTAAAATATCTATTCCTATCAACCCAATTTCAGTATCACCTCAGTCATCCATGTAACATGAATGTTTTAGTCGTCTACATTTTAAACTCTTTGTTTAGTCACACAACTAAATGCTTAGAGGCAGTTTAGCATGGTTCCCCTTGAGGGTAAATGCTAGCTAGCATAATGAGTTCATTCACCACCAACAGCGTCATGAGCCAAGAATCCAGGGAGAATCAGACAAGTTCCTGCCATCAAAGAGCTTATAGTTGATGTATAATTAAATACGGATCCCACTTTCAAGGAGACCCAGAATCTAGCATGAAACACATCCTGACTTCCCTACTCCTGAGCTTTCAAATCACAACCGCCAAGATGTTGGCCCCAGAGCCAAACTCTGAAAACTCTGCCTTGGGTGGGTGCCTTCATGTTCATTAGTCTGTAGACCAATGTGTTTGCTATATTTAAAATATGTTTTGAAGTATTTTACAAACATTATTAACCCCACTGTTATCTGATAATGGAAAAGTACAGTACATGCCTAATGTGCTAATAAAAAAGACACAAAATTATGATAGAAACAAAAGGAGTGCTAATAAAAATAGTTGAGAGTCGTGAAAAATATTTTTTTTCCTTTTACATATGGAATGAAGACTGGGAAGAAACCTAAAGGGCAAAGGATGAATGGGGCGGAGGGTGAAAAAGGCTAACCTATGCCTATTAAAACCTAACAGTAATAATCAGCCACAAAGAGAAGACAGATTTTTAGAAGTTTTTCCATTTTGAATGTATAACAGGGTGATCAGTGCTAAAGGTGGAAACTTGGCCTAATGTTAGTTCAGGAGGCCAGGAAGTTGTTCTAGAACACAAAGGGTGAACAGAACCAAGACTGAGCCCACCAAGGCTCCTGTAATTCAAGAGGTAAGAAGGGAAGTTGGATTCCAAGGGCTACTAAGGGGCTCCCCAGGGGCTCCAAAGAGACCATGAAGGAGCCATCTGCCTCAAGAGATTTTTAATGTAGACAAAGCTACTCCACTTTAGAAAAAGATGCCCCACTGAACATCCAGCAGCAAGGGCATAACTGGGTTATAAAGCTTCAAAGGACCAACTTACACTCCTTGAACTGCACTGGGGGACTGCAAGCTTAAAGTCTTCTTAGTCACTTTGAACCTGTGAACAAATGAGCTTAAGAAGAGCCTCTCAGAAGTTCATCTGTTTGAAATAGAGAGGTTCTGAAATTACAATGCAAAGAAAGAGAAACGGGCATGCATATGGTATATAAAGAAAAGTAAGACGGACGTCTAAGGGAGTGAGCACCTCCTTCAGGAAGAGAGGATATCCAGGCTGGGTTTTAAAGGTACAGAGTATGGGTAAGAGAGAGGTTGAACTATTTTTTTTTCATGTGATCAAATAGCATATTTAGATGTTTCAGCATCAATGCATAAAAGAGCTTACTAACTTAAGGAAGTAAATTACCTGTGCTACAGGCTAGGACAGAAGGACAGGTGAGGGAGGAGAGCTGGAGGGCAGCCAAGCAGGGAGGCAGGACAGCCACCTGGCCAGTCCAGGACAGGGGACTAATGCCAGATTTCACAGGTCTTGTATGCTATAACAAGAGTCTGAATTCAACCCTGCAGGCATTGACAAAGCTGAGTTTTTAGCAAGTTGGTAACACGGTGAAATTTCTGTATCCAAGCGCTCATCTGCTGATACGTGGAAGATGGGTCTCAGGCGGAAAGACCAGTGAGGCGGCCAACAGTCTAAATGAGAGATGCTCAATTAGAGTAGTGAATGAAGGGGAAACAGGAAAAATTTCCTCAGCTGTCCAGGAGGTAAAATCAGAAGAACTAGATGAATTAGTCAAGGTGAGGTGGCATAGGAAAGGCAAGATTAAGAACAAGGTGGATGATGGTGCCACAAACCCAGGTGGGAAATATAGGAAGAAGTTTGGAGACATGTTAATCCTGAGGAACTGCTGCATGGTTCAGTAGAGAAGGGTCTAGAAGGCAGAGCACAGAACACAACAGGAACAGATTTGAAAGTCCATCACTACATAGGCCAGAATAAAAACAATGAAAGTGGGTGAGACCACTCAGAACAAGAGTTCTTAACATTCTTAGGTTATCGGTCCTTTTGAGAACCTGATGAAAATTCTCACCTCCTCCCCGCCTCACCAAAATACACATAAACAAACATTTTGGAAAAAAACACCAGGCAGCTTACAAGCCCCCTGCTACCCACACAGGACCACAGGTTAAGAAATCCTCGGCCTGGGGACTAGGGGAGGGAAGTGGGAAGAAGGTCTAAAGCAGCATGTCTCAACAAAGATGTTACTGGCAAATTGCACAGGGCATGTCTTCACCGTGCAGAATGCTGAGCACCCGGGCCCAGCCCCTGCCCACTGAACATAAGAAATACCCACAGCCTAGTCTCTGTGACAGCCAAAAAAGGCCCCCACATATTTCCAAATACTACTACCCTGTTTGAGAACCCCTGGTCAAAAGGGAGAAAAGGAAGCAGCAAAGAAAACTGAGCCAGAAAGATCAGAGATGGCAGGAAAAGCAGATCTATTCCTCAACCAATAAGTCATCCTTATTTCCAAAACATACCCATGATATGACCCTTTTCCCTACCTTTACCACTAGCACCTCAACTAAGCCATCCCTTGAATGAATTATTGCAATCATCCCCTAATTGGTTTTCCTACTTCTTTTTTTTTTCTTTCTTAAGTTACCATGTTATATATTACATTCCTGGATGTATGTACCTTATAAGCACAAGTTTGTACCTTCTGACCCCCTTCACCCATTTCAACCACCCCCACTCCCCACCTCTGGCAACCACAAATCTGTTCTCTGTATCTATGACTTGGGTGTTTTGTTCTGTTTTTAGATTGCACATGTATATGGGATCATACAGTATTTGTTTTTCTCTGTTTATTTCACTTAGCATAATGCTTTCAAGATCTGTCCATGTTGTCACAATGGCAAAGTTTCCTTTCTTCTGGCTGAATCATATTCCATTGCATGTATATACTACATTTTCTTTATCCATTCATCAACGGATGCCCACGTTGTTTCCATGTCTTGGCTTTCTGCTATTCTTAATTTCTCTTGACAAGCCCCTTCCACATGGCAGCAAAGTGAGTCTCCTTAATTTTACTAATTGTATTTAATAAGCATTTTTATAATACTATCTGCCATGCTCTGTTTTTTTTTTTTTTTACAAATATTAATTCATTTCATCCTCATAACAACACTGTGAGATGGATATCATTCCTATTCCCATTTTACCCATGAGGCACAGAGACGTTACAGAACTACTACAAGGCCACAAAGCCAGTAAGTGTAGGGCTGGGATTTTAATTTAGGCACCTGGCTCCACGGTTCACGCTCTTGCCTACTACTCCATGCTTCCCTCCAACTCATCCATTCCTCTGTTCAAGATCCTCAACTGTCTTCTCACTCAAGAGTAAAAACCAAGATCCTGGTCATAGACAGTAAGTGCCTGGTATATGGGCCCCCCTACCTCCTCCACCTTGTCTCCTGCTCCTATCCCCTGCCCTCCCCCTACTCCAAAGCCTCACTGATATGATATGGGCACAACTGCATGCACCTGCTTCAGTGCCTCTGTACTCACTCTCTCCTCTATCTGAAGTGTTCTTCCTCCAGATAGCTGCAGAGTTACTTCCTTCGCTTCATTAAGTTTTCTACTCAAATGTGCTCTCATGAGTAAGGACTTCCTGCCCATTTAATATCAAATAACACCTCTACTCCCATCCCCACCATTTTCAATTTCTCCAACTTGTTATAATTTTTCCCTCTGATTCATTTATCATCCTGTAAAACATGTAAAATGACTCATTCATTATCTAACTACCTCCAATAGAGTATATTTTCTATGAGGGCAGTTTTGTGTGTTTTGTTCTCTGTTATAACTCCCTGCATGGAAGGTCATACAGTTCATTTCTGAATGAATGAATGAACAACAAAAAAAGAGTGTTGACAAGGAAACCAAGAAGTCTGAAGACGGAGGGAGATGGCTCAACAGTGTAAACATACAACAAAAAGCTGCTGTTATATCAGAGGTAACAAGTTTCCATTTATTTTGGCAATTAAGAAATTGGTGTCTGTGGTAGGAAATGTTTCCAAGAATTGGTACCTGTCTGGGGAGTGAGTTGGTAGGGTAATATAGTAGAACTACTAAGCACAGACAACTCCTGTAAGAAGTTGGTTAAGAAATGAGACAGCTAGAAGGAGTAGCAATGTCAAGAGAGACTTGAGCATATTCTTTCCAGGCTGAAGGTAAGGAGAGAAGAGAAGAGGAGCCTGAAAATCAATAGAGAGAAAGGATTACTAATGGAGAATGGCCTAGCAGATAAC